GCGGCCGGTCCGGGAACACGTGCAGATCGCCACACGCTGCCGGCCAGGGGTGAAGGTGTCAACCCCCGCATCCTGGAGGACAGCGTTGCTCACCAAGTTCGTAGAGAACGAGGGGAGGTGGAGACCAGACAGCTCACCAGACGGGACCGCCGGACACGGAAGCACAGTGGAAGACCGTGCAAGCACTGGGCCCCCAGAGGGGTCAGCCAGTGAGACAGGAACAGGTGCAGGGAGGGGAGTGACTGTGGTACTGTCGCGGAAGAAACAGCAGGAAGCACCAGAGTCAAGTGTAAAGGTGTGCAAGGCCTGTGCAGGCGCAGTACCAGGGGGAGCAGACTCACAAGCACCTAGTGCTGCAGGGGCTATACCAGGATCCGGCGGCACACACAAGTAGCAGTCACCCTCAGCACTAACAGTCAATGCATACATGGCAGTGAGAATAGCATCATAGTCAAGAGCAAATATATCTACCCTCTGCCCAAGCAGCTCCACCCAGTCGGGGAGCTCAGCCTCGTCGCCAAACTCGGTACGCCAGGCGTCACTCAGACGGGCGAAGCAGCGGGACTGTGTGTGACCAGGCGTCCCGCAAGCCTGACCAGTCCGATCACCTGTGCGAATGACGTACGGGCAGCGAACGGTACTCAAAGACCCTCTACTCTGAGCTTACCACTCGTGAAGCTGCCGTGGCGTAAGTGTCTCGCGTGGACGCCGCGGCTGCACCAGGGGCGGCTGCTGCAGGGGCCAGGGGCGGCTGCTCTGGGTCCAGGGGCGGCTGCGCCAGGGGTGGCTGCTGCAGGGGCCAGGGGCGGCTGCTCTGGGTCCAGGGGCGGCTGCCCGAGGGCCCAAGGGCGGCTGCACCAGGGGCGGCTGCTTCAGGGGCCAGGGGCGGCTGCTCGGGGTCCAGGGGCGGCTGCTCCAGGGGCGGCTGCTGTAGGGGCCAGGGGCGGCTGCTCTGGGTCCAGGGGCGGCGCTCGAGGGTCCAGGGGCGGCTGCTCTGGGTCCAGGGGCGGCTGCACGGAGTCCAGGGGCGGCTGCACCAGGGGCGGCTGCACCAGGGGCGGCTGCGTCAGGGGCCAGGGGCGGCTGCTCTGGGTCCAGGGGCGGCTGCACCAGGGGCGGCTGCTTCAGGGGCCAGGGGCGGCTGCTCTGGGTCCAGGGGCGGCTGCACCAGGGGCGGCTGCTTCAGGGGCCAGGGGCGGCTGCTCGGGGTCCAGGGGCGGCTGCTCCAGGGGCGGCTGCTGCAGGGGCCGTGGGCGGCTGCTCTGGGTCCAGGGGCAGCGCTCGAGGGTCCAGGGGCGGCTGCACCAGGGGCGGTTGCTTCAGGGGCCAGGGGCGGCTGCTCCAGGGGCGGCGTAGCTAGTGCAGGGCAGCGCGCGGGTCCCACAGGCGCCGTGACGGGCGACGGGGGGCAGCGCGCCGTCACTGGAGGAGGCGACGCGCGGGGCCGGCGGCAGGCTAAAAACGTGGCCGTAAAACGGGCTACGCGGGCGGCGGACGCGGCGCGCAGGGCCTAAGCGGGCTGCGTGCGGGCGGCTCACGCGACGCGCGGGCCGGCGGCAGGCTGCGCGGGCGGCTGACGTGGCGCGCGGGGCCGAAAACAGGCCTAAACGGGCCTAAACGGGCTGCGCACGGGCTGCTTAAGAGGCGCGCGCGGGGAAAAAAAAGTGACGCGCGCAAGAAGCCGAGGCGCGCGCGGTCAGCAGGCAGGGCAGGCAGGCAGGCAATGAGGCTGTAGGTGAGGTAACTCAGTTAAAGGTGGGCCCTATTCTTAGGTCCTAGAGACCTTAGTGCTCTAGATGCCATGTCAAGACTTAGGCAAGGATGAATTGAGTATCGAGAGAGTTGGTACAAGGGGAAAAACCTAAGGGGTTATACCCCACACTATCTACCCCACTACAGCCTAGCAATAACACTAACATATAGATATATGTTTGACATGACTAACACTAGGGTACGGGACAGGCTCGGGCGTTACGGACGTGAGCAAGAGGAACGGGATCCCACAGGATCCGAACCTAGGTGATACCATGTCAAGAACTGAATGATGGTTTGACTAAGGTTGGTTGGGGTACATAAATCCAACCCTAACTGTTGTACCCCATATGACACACATCACTAAGACTAGAACATCTGACAGCTGGTTTTCTGACGAATAATCCGCTTCGTCAAAAGTTCCAAACCTGTGCTGACATGTGCAGAGTCAGCAAAAAATACATTCCATACCTTAGAAGACGAACATGAGTTGAACGGGAGTGATGGAATAAATGTTTTTCAAGCATTCTCGCAGCATGGCAAGTGCGTAGAAACTTCATATAGAGGATGCGTACTCCCTGCAATACTCTTGTATAGAGAACGCGATATTAAGTGAGGTGGAAAATCAATGGTCGAGAGCAAACCATACCGACTATTGATTAAACCATGGTTTGTTTTTCAACCACGAACTATGATAAGTTTTGTTTTAACTAAGCTAATATATGATACACGAAACTTTATACCGAACCGAAAGCATCCCCAAGTCTGTATTTTCCCTCCATGTGATTATCAGCCAGTTTGCGCGAAACGCGGCGTCTGAAATGTATGTACTTCGCAATACCAGGCCTCGTACCAGTTGTTCGGTCACAAAAAGTACGATTCGGGACGTTTCAGAACGTTCAAAAAGGTTGTAGAACATTTCACCGAGGTACAGCGAACCATGATTTGCGGCGTCATATTCTGGATTCACCGAACTGAACCGTTCGGAAAGCCTGAGTGCTGCCAGTATGCTCAACCATTGTTGTCATATGGCGCGAAATGGGATTTGAAGCATCAGGTTTCAGGAGAAAATAGAAGGGCGGCAACTCGCTGCCTGTTCAGCACATCTGATGTTACATGTACGGCGAATGCCGCCCGGCGCTCCTCGTTTCTCCTTTCTGCTGGATGTAAACCTGACTAAGAAATTACTATGGTAGTAACCCTCCACGAATAGGCAGCTCGACTGGTTATAAAAGCACCTGGGTTTTTCTTCAGCAATAACGAGCCTCCATTCTTTCGCAAGTAGCGCAAGTACTCCGAGATCCGCCATGGCCCAGATTTCGTTGCGACCCGTGGTCGTCCTCGCTGGTGAGTTTTACATTCGCCGACCCTTCGTCCTCGAGCATAGGCCTTCCCTTTCCTGACCGAATGTTGGTGGTCCCTTCGGTCACCAAGTTGCTTCCGCCCTCTCTGCGTTATTCGGCCTAAGCTGCGTGATGCTCGAAACAATCAGTCCGGAAATTTCAAATTCAGTGAGCTTAACTCATTGTTAGCAGCGACTCGTTAAGTGACAACCCTAATCTCTCGTGCACGTCTCTTGACTTGTCCCCGTGCAGTGCTGCTCTCTCTCACCTGCGGAGCCGTCGCCAGCCGTCATCTGCTCCAAACTGGCAGCACTTATTGTACGACAAGCTATCTTGCTGCATGCGGCGCTCTTCTTGACGTTCTTCTTGTCCGCAACATCTCTTTGTACGCGCTATCATCACGTTCGACGCCAGAAGGGCAACCTCATGCTCTCCGCTTGCCGCAATGCTAAGTAGCTGGTTCTCTGTTCCTGATTCCATCGACTACTCCTGTTGTCGCTCCGTGTCGCCGGTGCGCAGACCAAGCAGCGTCGACCATGGCGAATCTCAAGTCGACCGCTTCGAGCACGCTGAATGCTAACGTGTAAGTGTCATATCACGTTGAATGTTCACCTGGTTTTAGCGTTCCCCCAGCCCAGGCAATGGTATTTTTTCAACAATGGCTACGTATGCTTTCAATCACATTCACTCATTCACTCTTACCACGCTGAATATATATTTTCTACTTTCTCTGACTATTCGTATTCATGACTCATTCACTCTTACTACCCCGCTGAACGTTCACTTAGATATCATTCCTAATGCACCTGCAAAATGCAACCTCTCATCCTCCCTGCCTCCCCCTCCCTCCCACCCCCCCCCCCCCCCCCCCCCCCCCCCCCCCCTCTCCCCTTTGCAGCACAACCACGTTCCAATCCACCAACTTCACTATCCGCGTTTCAAAGACACTCGCCAAGTCGGCCAGAGATTTTACCAATCCCAAGTACATCGACAGTAAAGGCGCCACTGTGGCCGAGTTCATCTGCACATTCACGGTCCATCCTAGTACCGGCGTTTGGAGCTGCAATGTTGTGGAAAAGGTGTCGCTCGTTTATGCTTCCCAGCCTGTCGGCACCTTGAAGACGTTAGTCGACGCTGGGCTGTTCAATTCTCCTTCGGCCTTGACGCTTTCGCTTTCAGTTTGCGGCGTCACCATGAAGGGGTCGCTCTCATCCACTGTCACCACCTACTGAGTGGCGTACTGTACCGCATTACAGAGATTTCCAGTGATCACTTAAGTGTGTTGGACATGTGTTCAAGGCTATGGACATGTTTCAAAAGTGGTGTTTGAATTGTTATAGATCGACCATTGTCCTTCTTTATACTGCACGAGCAGCAGATTGAAAATTTCGAGACTCTACAAATTCAAACCCAGATTCGTCCGAGTCTAGGAAGCATGAAGTGGTAAAGGTTCCAGATTGGGGCCCCTCCTGTTTAGAGCCCTAGCAGTACATACACTCTTGTGTTGGTGCTCTCCCCTCACCACTGCTTGCCCTCTTTATGCATGTCATGTCATTCACCGGGATGATCACACAGCACAACACAGCCCTGCACTACACTGGCATCCCACCATGCGTCCCACCAGAACTGCCGTGCACATCCACCCACAAGCTCGCCCCACGGCCGTGCCAAAAGGGGAAGCACGAGGCATTGCAGCACGGTTGTTTATGGGGACGAACCAGTGCACATGTAGAACAAAAGAGACAGCGCTATAGAAGAACGGCACTAAAGAGGACGGCACGGCACTACATAAGAATGGCACCAGTACCAGCTCGAACGTGACAGACCAGACACAGTGAGAGTACAGGCAGATCAGAGCACCGAGGAGGCAACAAATGTAACGGAGGCGCATGGCAGAGGCCGCGATCAGGAGGCGGGCCGTTGCAGGTTGAGCATGGCAGCGCGTGCCTCGGCAAACATCTTCTGCTGCTCCGCTATCGCCTCCTCCTCACTCATCACCACCGCCCCCGATGCCTTGCTGCTGCTCGACCGCCCCAGCGCCCGCGGTGACTCCTGCACGGGGAGGGGAGGAAGGAGGAGGATGGAGGAGGGGAGGGTGGAGGGGAGCATGCAAGGCAGACAGTCAGAGGTCCCTTGCCGCTGCTCGACTGCCCCAGCGTGCGTGGTGACTCCTGCAAGGGAGGGGCAGGGAGGGAGATGGTGGGGGTGGGGGGGTGAGAGGGGAGCATGCAGGGCAGATTGTCAGAGACATGTATGTCCCACGAATGGCTTGCTGCTGCTCCACCACCCCAGCGCGCGCAGTGACCCCTGCAGGGGGGGAAAGAGGGGGATGGGTGTGAGATGCTGGTCCAAGATTCATTGGTGATATGACACCGTGACAGACAAGCAGGTGGCTTGGTGGATGCGTCAAACAGGTGGGCACACACAGACGAGTCACTCCAGAGCAGAATGCAGTCCACATGAGTGGCGCAGCCGTGTGCGCTAACCAACAGGCTGTGCTGTGCACCCCCCGAGTGCGCTAACCAACAGGCTGTGCTGTGCACCCCCCGAGTGCGCTAACCAACAGGCTGTGCTGTGCACCCCCCGAGTGCTGCAGCAGCCTCAAGGTCCACGAGCGTCAGCGGAACCAGAAGAGGCCATGCAGGCAATGGAGCAAGTGGAGGCGATGGGGTGAATAGTGGGTTGCACCATGGAACACGGCCGAGAGGAGGGGAGTGTGTGGAGGGGCGTGAGGGCGTGCGTGGGTCACCAGTGTTTCAGACTTGTGCTGGTCGTATGCTGCCTGCACCTCCGCCAGATAGCTGCTGAAGCCCAGCGACTGCATGCACGCGCACGAGCAAGCGAGGGGGTGACAGGCAACACAAGAGGGGGGACTGTCAAAAGAGCAGGAAAGACGCAGTAGGAGAGGAAGAGAGGCAGCAAAGTGTCCCAGAGATTCAATCGGCAAGGCCAGCGCACGGGCAGGGAAGGTATGGACTGGTTTACTTCTACCACTCACCACCACCGCCCTCTATCTCAACCCCACCACCCTCTCTCTCGCCCCCACCGTCCTCTCTCCCAACCCCACAGCCCTCTCTCTCACCCCCACCGCCTTCGATGTCACCTCACCGTCCTCTCTCTCACCCCACACCCCTCCGTCTCACCCCACCGCCCCCCCTCTCACCTCCAGCGCCTGCAGCACGTGCTCGGGGGCGATGGTGCGCTTGTCCTCCTTGCTGCAGATCTCATTCGCCTCCGACGAGATCAGATTGATGAACTCTGCAGGGGGGGGCGCGAAGCACGGTGTGGCAGTGCCAGCACGCCCAGGCGAGCGCGCACCATAAGGCATTAGCGGGCACAAAACCTTTCTGCGCGCACTGGATGATTCTTCAAGCAGGATGGGCTTGGGGAGGAAAAGTCCATCAAGCAGGAGAGTGAAGGAGTGGGAGGTGAGAAAACTTGACACACTGCGTTCATACAAGCACTCTCAACCCACCCGGGCAGGCAGCGAGGCAACATGAGGGGTCCATGAGGCAACCCACCGAGGCAACCCACCGAGGCAACCCACCGAGGCAACCCACCGAGGCAACCCACCGAGACAACCCACCCGAGGCAACCCACCGAGGCAGCAGTCCATGAGGAGGTCTTGCGTGTCCTTGGAGACTCGCACGTCGCGTGGCAGCATCTCCTTTATTAGCCGACTCATTGTCGCTGACAATCACCCGCGAGGATAAAACAAAAAGTGGGAAAGGGAGAGGAGAGGGTGATGCCGGAGATGAAATAAAACGATGGCGGTGGTGGGAGTAGGAAGGGAGCGGAGGGACGGCAGGCACTGGGGGCTGCACCCCACCCCAGAGACTAGAGTCGTTGCAGGGAGAGCAGAGAGGCCAAGGGTGGAGATTGGAGCGCCAGAGCGCGGCAAAGAACAGCGGGATTTGAGGCATCCGGGGCAGCGGTGGGCTTGAAGGCGCTCGTAGGTACCTTTGGGCAGAGAGACATCTTCAGGCCGCTTCGCTCCCGCCTCCATCGCCCCTCTCGCTGCCCCCCGTGTGCCCGCGCTGCTCTTGATGCCCCCTCTCCCCTCGCACCAGGGCTCACTGATAGTAACACCGCGTGTGCCGAGCGAGCAAGGACGATTGCTGCGCTGCAGGCGCCGAGCGCCGAGCGCGTTGGCGGTGCTGCTGTGGGCGTCACTCGACGACGCGCTGCTGCTCCCTTCGCCTGCTCGTGTTTCTCAGGGTGAAACCTTAAGTTGCTATGGCGAATCTGACGAAGCTACAGGGAAACTGACGAAGCTTTACGGAGAGCGTGCAACGGTAAGCGAAAGCGCGCGTTGATGGGTGAGCAGCATGTGACGCTGCGTTGCTAAAGGTTTTCGAAATATGACATCCAGGGTCGAAAAAGGAGAGTCACTGTTACTAATTAAACGCGATGATAAGCAAATGGGCGACAGAGCTACGAGCGCCAGGCGGGACGAGGAAACCGCGCAAGGTTACTAATGCAGACCCAGTACACGTTCCGTGATTGCGAGTCATTTCCTCCTCTTCGATCACAAGCGTTGAACCGACCTCCAAACCTATTTTCGTTGGCGAGGGAGCTCGTCGCGGCTCGAGGACCACCCTTCCAGCCCGTCAAACCTGCCAAATCACTCTTAAAGCTACCGAACCGCGTCTAAGTCTGTCGTACGTAGGAGGGATTGTGTGGAGCGAGGGACCCGATCCTTCGCGACGTCTTCTCGGCCTTCGAGCGTCACGACGGTCGTGCGGGTCGTCTGCTGTCGTTTAGAAAGTGTTGTTACACGTATCCAGTAGTTTGCAATATCAACTAAGTGCTCACGGAACACCACCTCGGGGTGTGTAAATTTGCTTGACAGAGGGTTGGAGAATGCGTACACGGTCGACAAGCATCGCAAAGGCAAGGCGCAAGTCCGCACGCATTTCAGTAGACGGTTGAGTGCGTTTTAGCTGAATATTGAACGGTTAGATTGCTTCATCCATTCAAATAAGCACCTACTTGAGTGAACATTGATACATCCATATTAGCACTTAGAGTTGCCCCCTGAGATATACCAAAATTTACCAATGCTCTGAAAACGTCAAGCCTACACTGTATTATTGTAAACAAGCGTTCTGACAAGCATTCTCGCATTGGCCATAACCTCCTTGAACTCCCTCCGATCTACCCTCGTAATGCTCTGATCACGCGCGCACGCCACACACTCATGAATATTCCAGCACTGCTCCTCGGGCAGGTGCGTGAACCCCCCGTCCTTCATGCACGAGTTGCGGAAAAAGGCGCTGATGTCATGGATGTTGCGCCAGGCGAGGTAGTGCACGCCGGAGCGCATGGCGAGCTTCTTGTAGAGCGTGCTGAGGAACTTGTAGGGGAAGAGCTCCACCACCACTGAGCCGCGCGGCATGAAGAGCGCCGTGGTGAGCGGCGTGCCGTGCAGGGATATCAGCACCAGGGTGTTCTGCGAAAGGAAGGGGAAAGGGGGAGAGGGGAGTCGGAGAGAGGGGGGGGGGGGGGGGGGGGGAGAAGAGGGAAAGGGGGAGTGAGGAGGGAGTTGGAGTGCAGAGAGGCTGCTCGAATCATGTGGTTGCAGATGGAGGAGTGGCGAAGAAATGGGACGGAGGTCAAATGCAGCCTGGAGGTGTGCTGCTTCAGGTCACGCAAGGCCTCAAGTGAAACACATGGGTACTGACCCAGGCCCCCACCTCCCGTGCCCACTCTCGTACTCCTTTTCCCAGCACATTTCCCAACCGCTCCTTCTCCCTTCAATCCTCTGCCAGCGACCACAACCGCCCCCCAAAAGCACCGCCTCCAGCAGCAGCGCGTGGTCCAAGGCGGGCGCCTTGCGACGCTCCTCACCCCACCCACACCCTTCCCATGCCCCTCTCCCTCTTACCCCCCACCGCACCTTGAGCAGCAGAGCGTGGTCAGAGGCAGACGCCTTGCCGACCCGGGCGATGAGCAGCGGCATCTCGGGGAAGAGAGCGTGTGCCACGCGCGCCACCTCGTGGCCGTTCATCACGGACCGCCCCCTCTCGCGCTCCAGCACCGTCACCTGCCACCTCATGCGCCGCGGGGCAGGGGGCACCTGGGCGGGGCAGGAGATGGGAGGCGGACAGGGGGGCATTGCTGAGGCGAGGGGCATGGAGAGGAGACCACCCTTGCTCCCGGTCCAGCGGCGTCAGCTGCCAGCGCATGCACCGAGGGGTTGATGGCAGCTGGATTGAGTCGCAGGGAGACACAGATGGCACGAGGAGAACTCGGCAGGAGCATGGGGTGAGGGGTCGTGCAGACTAACCCTGCTCCCGCTCCAGCACCGTCAGCTGCCAGCGCATGCGCTGCGGGGCGAGGGGCACCTGGTAAGAGCCAAGGGGAGACAGGCATGGGAGGAGAACATAGCGGGAGCATGGGATGGGTGGGTGTGCACACTAACCCGCTCGTGGCTCCAACAGCATGCGGCCGTGCCTGTTGCCAGCAGGCACCTGGGATTGAGTCACGCGACGACACGGATGGGAGGAGACCACAACAGGAGTGTGGGACGATTGATGTGCAGTGCAGACTGCATCCTACCTCGCTCCAGCACCATCACCTGCCACCTCATGCGCCGTGGGGCAGAGGAGACCTGGGGAGGTCGCGGAGGAGCAGACAGCAAGAGGAGGGAGGGAGAGAGGTTGGGGGAGGGCAGGCAGCGCCTGACACCCCGTGCACACGGGGGGAGTGCAAGGGCGGCGAGCGGAGGGAGTGGCAGAGCATGGGGCCGTGGGGTGAGCAAACATGCCACACACAAACATGCTTTCTCTCCCACACCATACCGCACCTGCTGCTTTTCCTCACCTGCTGTTTCGCCCCCACCGTTGCATTGCACATGCACCACTGAGATATGACGAACCTGCTGCTCCCACAAACTACCACCCCTCTCCCCCATTCTCCCCACACCCCTCTCCCCCATTCTCCCCACACCCCTCTCCCCCATTATCCCCACACCCCTCTCCCCCATTCTCCCCACACCCCTCTCCCCCATTCTCCCCACACCCCTCTCCCCCATTATCCCCACACCCCTCTCCCCCATTCTCCCCACACCCCTCTCCCCCATTCTCCCCACACCCCTCTCCCCCATTCTCCCCACACCCCTCTCCCCCATTCTCCCCACACCCCTCTCCCCCCACCTATCTACCGCCGCCCCTCTCCCCCCACCTATCTACCGCCGCCCCTCTCCACTCCACCAACCTGGGATCCCGGCGGGGCGGGCACGGGCGGCAGGCTGCGGCTGGTGCGCAGCACTTTCACGCGCACCACACCCGACTGCCTGCCCTTCTTGCCCTTGCCCTTGCTGCGCCCCCCTGCGCCCAGCAGCGCCCACTGCCTCAGCGTGTCCGCTGCCTGCGGCGTGTGCAGGCGGTTCAGCGGGAAGAGCGCGTTGCGGAAACACACCTGGCGAGGTGGGGCGAGCAGGGGAGCGGAGGGGGCGGCAGGGGCGAGCAGGGCATGGAGAAGGGGCGAGCAGGGCATGGAGAAGGGGGGAGGGGAAGGCAAAGCAGTGCGGAGGGAAAGGGTGGGAGCGGGAGAGGAAGGAAGGGCAGCGGCATGATTGAGTACATGCGGGTTTGGTGGGCGCGGAGCGGAGGGGGGTTGCTGAGGGACCAATCCAATCTATCATGGAACCACTGAGTTTCTATTACTGATTTGGTTTGGGGGCAAGGAGGGGGAAAACGCTCGAGAATGGGGTTGGAAAGAACGGGAGAGTGTGCGGAGGCGGTTCGTGGGGAGGAGGGTGATGCAAAATCATACGTGCATGAAGGGGTGGTTTTTGTGCTTGTCAACTGCTGTCCCTCACTCTCACTTCCTGCCCCTCACCTCCTGCCCCTCACCTCCTGCCCCTCACCTCCTGCCCCTCACCTCCTGCCCCTCACCTCCTGCCCCTCACCTCCTGCCCCTCACCTCCTGCCCCTCACCTCCTGCCCCTCACCTCCTGCCCCTCACCTCCTGCCCCTCACCTCCTGCCCCTCACCTCCTGCCCCTCACCTCCTGCCCCTCACCTCCTGCCCCTCACCTCCTGCCCCTCACCTCCTGCCCCTCACCTCCTGCCCCTCACCTCCTGCCCCTCACCTCCTGCCCTCACCTCCTGCCCCTCACCTCCTGCCCCTCACCTCCTGCCCCTCACCTCCTGCCCCTCACCTCCTGCCCCTCACCTCCTGCCCCTCACCTCCTGCCCCTCACCTCCTGCCCCTCACCTCCTGCCCCTCACCTCCTGCCCCTCACCTCCTGCCCCTCACCTCCTGCCCCTCACCTCCTGCCCCTCACCTCCTGCCCCTCACCTCCTGCCCCTCACCTCCTGCCCCTCACCTCCTGCCCCTCACCTCCTGCCCCTCACCTCCTGCCCCTCACCTCCTGCCCCTCACCTCCTGCCCCTCACCTCCTGCCCCTCACCTCCTGCCCCTCACCTCCTGCCCCTCACCTCCTGCCCCTCACCTCCTGCCCCTCACCTCCTGCCCCTCACCTCCTGCCCCTCACCTCCTGCCCCTCACCTCCTGCCCCTCACCTCCTGCCCCTCACCTCCTGCCCCTCACCTCCTGCCCCTCACCTCCTGCCCCTCACCTCCTGCCCCTCACCTCCTGCCCCTCACCTCCTGCCCCTCACCTCCTGCCCCTCACCTCCTGCCCCTCACCTCCTGCCCCTCACCTCCTGCCCCTCACCTCCTGCCCCTCACCTCCTGCCCCTCACCTCCTGCCCCTCACCTCCTGCCCCTCACCTCCTGCCCCTCACCTCCTGCCCCTCACCTCCTGCCCCTCACCTCCTGCCCCTCACCTCCTGCCCCTCACCTCCTGCCCCTCACCTCCTGCCCCTCACCTCCTGCCCCTCACCTCCTGCCCCTCACCTCCTGCCCCTCACCTCCTGCCCCTCACCTCCTGCCCCTCACCTCCTGCCCCTCACCTCCTGCCCCTCACCTCCTGCCCCTCACCTCCTGCCCCTCACCTCCTGCCCCTCACCTCCTGCCCCTCACCTCCTGCCCCTCACCTCCTGCCCCTCACCTCCTGCCCCTCACCTCCTGCCCCTCACCTCCTGCCCCTCACCTCCTGCCCCTCACCTCCTGCCCCTCACCTCCTGCCCCTCACCTCCTGCCCTCACCTCCTGCCCCTCACCTCCTGCCCCTCACCTCCTGCCCCTCACCTCCTGCCCCTCACCTCCTGCCCCTCACCTCCTGCCCCTCACCTCCTGCCCCTCACCTCCTGCCCCTCACCTCCTGCCCCTCACCTCCTGCCCCTCACCTCCTGCCCCTCACCTCCTGCCCCTCACCTCCTGCCCCTCACCTCCTGCCCCTCACCTCCTGCCCCTCACCTCCTGCCCCTCACCTCCTGCCCCTCACCTCCTGCCCCTCACCTCCTGCCCCTCACCTCCTGCCCCTCACCTCCTGCCCTCACCTCCTGCCCCTCACCTCCTGCCCCTCACCTCCTGCCCCTCACCTCCTGCCCCTCACCTCCTGCCCCTCACCTCCTGCCCCTCACCTCCTGCCCCTCACCTCCTGCCCCTCACCTCCTGCCCCTCACCTCCTGCCCCTCACCTCCTGCCCCTCACCTCCTGCCCCTCACCTCCTGCCCCTCACCTCCTGCCCCTCACCTCCTGCCCCTCACCTCCTGCCCCTCACCTCCTGCCCCTCACCTCCTGCCCCTCACCTCCTGCCCCTCACCTCCTGCCCCTCACCTCCTGCCCCTCACCTCCTGCCCCTCACCTCCTGCCCCTCACCTCCTGCCCCTCACCTCCTGCCCCTCACCTCCTGCCCCTCACCTCCTGCCCCTCACCTCCTGCCCCTCACCTCCTGCCCCTCACCTCCTGCCCCTCACCTCCTGCCCCTCACCTCCTGCCCCTCACCTCCTGCCCCTCACCTCCTGCCCCTCACCTCCTGCCCCTCACCTCCTGCCCCTCACCTCCTGCCCCTCACCTCCTGCCCCTCACCTCCTGCCCCTCACCTCCTGCCCCTCACCTCCTGCCCCTCACCTCCTGCCCCTCACCTCCTGCCCCTCACCTCCTGCCCCTCACCTCCTGCCCCTCACCTCCTGCCCCTCACCTCCTGCCCCTCACCTCCTGCCCCTCACCTCCTGCCCCTCACTCCTGCCCCTCACCTCCTGCCCCTCACCTCCTGCCCCTCACCTCCTGCCCCTCACCTCCTGCCCCTCACCTCCTGCCCCTCACCTCCTGCCCCTCACCTCCTGCCCCTCACCTCCTGCCCCTCACCTCCTGCCCCTCACCTCCTGCCCCTCACCTCCTGCCCCTCACCTCCTGCCCCTCACCTCCTGCCCCTCACCTCCTGCCCCTCACCTCCTGCCCCTCACCTCCTGCCCCTCACCTCCTGCCCCTCACCTCCTGCCCCTCACCTCCTGCCCCTCACCTCCTGCCCCTCACCTCCTGCCCCTCACCTCCTGCCCCTCACCTCCTGCCCCTCACCTCCTGCCCCTCACCTTCCTGCCCCCCCCTAAACCACCCCCTCCTGCCCCCTCACCTCCTGCCCCTCACCTCCTGCCCCTCACCCTCCTGCCCCTCACCTCCTGCCCCTCACCTCCTGCCCTCACCTCCTGCCCCTCACCTCCTGCCCCTCACCTCCTGCCCCTCCCCCACTCCTGACCCTCACCTCCTGCCCCTCACCTCTGCCCCTCACCTCCTGCCCCTCACCTCCTTGCCCCTCACATCCTGCCCCTCACCTCCTGCCCCTCACCTCCTGCCCCTCACCTCCTGCCCCTCACCTCCTGCCCTCACCTCCTGCCCCTCACCTCCTGCCCCCTCACCTCCTGCCCCTCACCTCCCCTGCCCCTCACCTGCCTGCCCCTCACCTCCTGCCCCTCACCTTCCTGCCCCTCACCCCTCCTGCCCCTTCACACTCCTGCCCCTCCACCTCCTGCCCCCTTCACCTCCCTGCCCCTCACCTCCTGCCCCTCACCTCACTGCCCCTCACCTCCTTGCCCCTCAACCTCCTGCCCCTCACCTCCTGCCCCTCACCTCCTGCCCCTCAACCTCCTGCCTCACCTCCTGACCCTCACCTCCTGCCCCTCACCTTCCTGCCCTCACCTCCTGCCCCAACCTCCTGCCCCTCACCTCCTGCCCCTCACCTCCTGCCCCTCACCTCCTGCCCCTCACCTCCTGCCCCTCACCTCCTGCCCCTCACCTCCTGCCCCTCACCTGCAGCCTCTCACCTTGAGCCCGGGCGAGTGGCCGAGCAGCAGCTGCGCCTTGGGGCCGAAGAGGATGTGCGCCATGTCAGCCGTCCACGCGCTGCGCACCTCGTGCTCCCCCGGGAAGAACACCACGCGCCCCTCCCCCCTCGTGTCCTTTGATGGGTCCGACGGGGGCGCGCGCACCAGGTGCACTGGGGGGGAAGGAGGGGTGCATGGGGGAGTGAGGACGGTTGGTGGAGGAAAGGGGCGAGGACGGTTGCAGGGGCGGGGGAAGGAAAGGGGAAGGGGGGTTGCAGGGGAGGGGGGAAGGAAAGGGGAAGGGGGGTTGCAGGGGCGGGGGAAGGAAAGGGGAAGGGGGGTTGCAGGGGCGGGGAAAGGAAGGGGGAAGGGGGGTTGCAGGGGCGGGGAAAGGAAGGGGGAAGGGGGGTTGCAGGGGCGGGGGAAGGAAAGGGGAAGGGGGATTGCAGGGGCGGGGGAAGGAAAGGGGAAGGGGGGTTGCAGGGGCGGGGGAAGGAAAGGGGAAGGGGGGTTGCAGGGGCGGGGAAAGGAAGGGGGAAGGGGGGTTGTAGGGGCGGGGAAAGGAAGGGGGAAGGGGGGTTGCAGGGGCGGGGGAGGTGTGCAGTGTTGAGGGAGAGAATCCACGTCACTGCTTCTGCAATGCCGTGGCAAGCCTGTCACCCCAGGCACTGTCCCGGCAGGACGTGAGAGGTGCCACCGTAGCCGAGACAAAGAAGCAATTGACATGAGAGAGGGAGACAACGAGGTGGCGAAGCACTCACCAGCGGCCTGCACTCACCAGCGGCCTGCATGAGAGGCACAACGGCCTCGCCGAAATCCCCCATGTACGTGTTATGCCGCGGCACATACCCCACCTTCTCCACGCGCCCCCCTTTCGGCCCCGTGGCCATCCGCGCCCTGCTAGCCGCGTCACTGAGGTTCAGGTACCGCGCCACCGCATGCGCGCTCTCGAAGCGGCCGTACACGCGGTTCTCGCGGCGCTTGATGTCCGTCATGTCGTGCAGCTCCTCGTCAAACTCGTCCGTGAACCCCGGTGCTTGGTTCTCGAATCCTGACAGGACCACGGGTGCTGCTGACTGCTGCTGCTGCTGCTGCTGGGGTGGGGTGGGTGGTGACTGGGTGGCTGAAGGGGTGGCTGTTTTAGGGTGGGAAGGCACAGGGTTGTGGGTTTTGGCGGGCTTTTGCTCCGATGCGGATAGGAGGCGTCGCCTCTTGTCCATGTGAGCCCCTCTCTCCTCCCCCTCCTCCCCCTCCTCAGCTGAGTACCCAACCCGACCGCTGTCCCTCCAATCCCCCTCCTCCTCCTCCTCCCTTCGCTCCACCCTCCCACCATACCTCTCCTTCCCCACCCCACTCCCCTTCCTCCCACCTCCCGCACCCCCTTTCCGCCCATCCACTCCCCCAGCTCCTCCCTCCTCCTTCACCCCTCTCAACCGCACCACATCCCTCCCAACAGTGCCCTCTCGTTCCAGGGCAGCGCGTGCCTCTCGGGGCGAGAGGGAGCGCCAGGCGTGGTCTTGTTGGTCGGCGAGGGCGTCGGGGAAGAGCGAGCAGAGGTCATTGGAGGTGCTGATGCGCTTGAAGTCGCGCACGCCCTCGTCCGAATACCACATGCCCGCCATTGGCTGGTGCAGCCGCGATGGACCTGGGGGAGGGGAGAGGGCAAGGGGAGGGGGGAGCGGCGGGGGGGGCGGGGGGGAGCGGACGGATGGGAGAGCAGAGGTGGTTGGAGGTGGTGGAGTGAAGTCGCGCACACCCTCGTCTGCATACCACATGCCCGCTGATGCTGTGTGCAGGCGCGATGGGCCTGGGAGGAGGAGGTGGGGTGGGGGATCGGGGGGGAGCGGGAGTGCAGTGCGGGTGTTGCTGATGGAGTGCAGGTCAAAGCACGCCCGCCCTCGTGCGCCCACCGCATGCCTTGCCTGCTGCTGCCACGCGCAGGCGAGACGAACCTGCGGGAGCGGTGGGGAGGAGGGGGTGGGGAGGAGGGGGTGGGGAGACAGGAGGTGGGTATGATGTAGAGGCGATAACTCATAAGTGCAAGTGGAGGTGCTTTCTTGGCCGAGAGCCACCGTGCATGCTGCAGCATGGACCTGTGATGTGCACGAGTGACGACGCACCTGTCATGTGCACGTATCACTCACCTGCCATGTGCCACGTGGCACCCACCCACCTGTCATGTGCCACGTGGCACCCACCCACCTGTCATGTGCACGTAGCAGGCGTCCTGGATGAGCAGCACACAGGCGAAGTCGTGGGGCTGCTGCAGCAGGAACACCCCCGGCATGAGAGAGAACGACCTCACGTCCCACTTGCCCCTCTGCCCTTCCACGCACGCCAGGGGCACATGCCAAGGGACGGAGGGAGGGAGGCAAGACGCGAAAGGGCACAGGCAGGGGCGAAGAGGCGCAGGCAGAGGCACAGGGGTGCAGGGACGCGCGAGGCCAAGAATGTGAGGGCATGGCATGTGGAGATGGGAACTAGACATGTGGGAGCATGGCATGTGGATGGGAGCATGGCATGTGGATGGGAGCATGGCATGTGGATGGGAGCATGGCATGTGGCGGCATCAGCACCCTGGGCAGGCATCTAGAGAGAGAGAGGCACATGGAGTAGGGCGAGGGCGGCCATAGGAGACAGAAAAAGGGCGTAGAGCGGGAGGGAGGGGAGGCGGGGAGTGTACGAGGGAGAGCAGGAAGGAGTTGTCGGTGGCGTTCCAGGGCACCTTGCTGGCGGCCAGCCCCGGTGCGATGTGGAACAGCCGCCCGTTCACCGTCTCCCTCGCCCTCACTGCCCAGCTCAGGTGCGCCCCCACGCCCCGCCCCATGCCCGCCCCCCCCTCCGCCTGCACCGGATTGCTGCTTGCCCCCCCACCTGCATGCGTGCTGGGAGGGGGGAGAGGAGGAAGGGTGGGTTTGAGAATGGGGAGGGGAGGGGAGGTGGTGGGGAGGGAAATGGGTGGGAGAGGCATCATGGGAGAGGCATCATGGGAGAGGCATCATGGGAGAGGCATCATGGGAGAGGCATCATGGGAGAGGCATCATGGGAGAGGCATCATGGGAGAGGCATCATGGGAGAGGCATCATGGGAGAGGCATCATGGGAGAGGCATCATGGGAGAGGCATCATGGGAGAGGCATCATGGGAGAGGCATCATGGGAGAGGCATCATGGGAGAGGCATCATGGGAGAGGCATCATGGGAGAGGCCATCATGGGAGAGGCATCATGGGAGAGGCATCATGGGAGAGGCATCATGGGAGAGGCATCATGGGAGAGGCATCATGGGAGAGGCATCATGGGAGAGGCATCATGGGAGAGGCATCATGGGAGAGGCATCATGGGAGAGGCATCATGGGAGAGGCATCATGGGAGAGGCATCATGGGAGAGGCATCATGGGAGAGGCATCATGGGAGAGGCATCATGGGAGAGGCATCATGGGAGAGGCATCATGGGAGAGGCATCATGGGAGAGGCATCATGGGAGAGGCATCATGGGAGAGGCATCATGGGAGAGGCATCATGGGACTGGTCATCGCGTGGTAGCATGCAACGCAATGCAATGCAATGCGGTGTCAGGCAGCAGAGGTGGCACCCCAAGCAGTGCGTACGGCCTGCCAGCGCATGGCAGCGGCGTACCGTGCGCGGGCGGGGGGGTCGCTGGAGAGCGCGGCGTGGTGCGCCATGGCGCGCTCCTGCGGGGCGCTGCGCAGGCGGATGTCGGCGGAGGCGGCGGAGAGGGAGCGTGAGGAGACCCCGGACTGGAAGAAGAGGTAGATGGTGGACAGGTTCAGCAGCAGCAGCAGCCCCGCCACCACCGCCACGTTCGACACCACCGCGCCCCCGCCCGCCCTCTCCGCGCCCGCCGCTCCGCTTCCCCCCACCCCGTGGCCCGCGTGTGCGCCGTGCCCCGCGTGCGCGTGCGCGGGGCTGCCGTGGAAGTGGCTGCCGGCGGCGAGAGCGAACTCGCGGGAGAGCGCCGCGGGGGAGAAGGCGGCGACCGGAGAGGCGACGCCGCCGCCGGCGGAGGACGCGCGGAAGGCGGCGGCTTGTGGGCTCGCGTGCTTGCCACTGGCGAGCGGGGAGCCACGTGGATGGTCGAGATCGCTCAGGTGGTCGATCGCACGGCGCTCCGCGATTCTGATGGGCGGCACGTCGTCCGCTACGACCACGAGCGGCGTCGACCCCGCGTGCTTCAGACGGCCCGCGATCGGCCGCTGCATGGCGCGGGGCGCACGCCACGCGGAGTGGACAGGCGGAGCGGAAGCGGACTACGTTGGTTGCCGCCGCATTCACAAAGTTTCGCGCGGTACGACGACGGGCGCGGGCAGAGGCGGGTGCCGCAATGATGGAGAGCACGAGAAGGTTGATGTGAGAGACGATGCGACCCAGATAACGATTCAGCTGGACGGGCGGAGAAGGAAGGTGTGGGGGAGGGAGGGGCACGAAGCGGCAGATACGCTGAAAGGACGGCGCATTGCGCTGGAGAGTGTGCGAGTTGGCGGATAAAGCGCTGGCAATTCTGGCGAGGAAACGTGGAAGGAGAAGCGATACTCGCGGCTGGCTGTGAGGATGGTGGTTTGGTGGTTAACCTCGTCATTGCCAGCCCCGATTTTGGGTTTCTTACCAGTATCGACCTGTCCAGTCTGACTTCTATAAATTATATTAGTCAGGGCAAAACACCATCCACCACACTTGGGATGAATTCGAGGGCCTAGGCAAAATGTACCTGGACATAAGGCCAATCAATAAGTATAACCAGACATAATCAGATCAAGTACAATGTAGAGTGATCAAGATCCTAACAAGTGAGTTCCTACTAGGACGAGGCCAAACTGCGTGCGAAGTCACCGATGATCATGAGGTGGGTGCGCCTTAATGAAGATGTCAACTATGTTAGCCCCAGAGGCAAAGTGTACTACGCATGCCTGGCCGCGCTGCTACAGCTCACGTAGAAAAAAGTACCATAGCTGTATGTGCTTCGCTCTGCCTCTAGTCTATGCTTCTGACACATGAGGATCATGGCCCTGTTATAAGTGAACACAGCCGGGGAAGAGCTAGGCATCTCTCTTAAGTTAATTATTAAGAACGTCAGCCAGCGTAGCTTCTAAGCAGCCATAGCGTCATTGTAAATATACAACTTATAGCTGGACTGTGCCACCGATGACGAGCAAGTGCCTACCGTCCTCGAGCCGTGGCTACTAGCGTGGGGTGGCGCCCGGGGCCTGTGTGGGCTTCGCCTACACTCGGACCGTGGTGGTGAGTTTTCGTCCACTCGCCTAGAGAAGTTCTGTCAGGGTCGGGGGATCATCAAGTCTTACACGCTACCAGCCTCGCCGCAGCAGAACGGGGTAGTCGAGCGGCGCATCTGCCTGGTCATGGAGGTTGCCCGGACCTCCATGTGCCATGCCGGTGCCCGTCAGTTCTTGTGGCCTCAGGCAGTCCGCTACGCCGCGCACCAGCTGAACCTGTGGCCCAGTGACGCGCGGCCACGGGTGACGCTGGTCTCCCTTTGGACAGCTTCTCCGGGCGTAGCAGCTGACTTCCGTGTCTGGGGTTCTCTGGCTCACGTTCGCGCCCCTGGCGTGAACAAGTTGTCTCCACGCACTCATGCCTGCGTCTTTCTTGGCTTCCCTTTGGACGCCCCCGGCTGGGTGTTCTACGACCCGGTCACCTACCTGTTCTTCGCTTCTCAGGACGTCACGTTCGACGAGTCTGTCTGTTACTACAGGAGTCGCCGCCACCGAGGTACTCGTCACTCCGCAGTCGTCCCACCCGCAGCGTCCAGTCCCTGTCGTGTCTGGGGGTGCGGGAGGTGCAGTTGCGGAGGGTGGGGGTACTGGGACTGCAGGAGCTGGTGGTGTCGGCTCTGGGGGTGCATGGGTTGTGGGCGTGGAGGTCGCTCCTGTGGAGGACACGGCAGCGGAGGTCACTCCTGTGGAGGACACGGCAGCCTCGAGTCGGCGGCCTCGCCCCGCCTCACCCCCTGGCTTCCCGTCCGTCCCGCAGTTACCTCCTCGTTCTTCTCTGCGGCCGGTTGCTGCGGAGCCTGGGGGTGTTCCTGCAGGAGGTACTGGAGGCCCCGGGGGTGTCGGTGGTGGAAGTGCTGGTTCTGGGGGTGCTGGAGGAGGTGGAACACGAGAGCGGAGAACAAGGTGAAACGGTCGGTCTGCACGGTAACGAGACCGACGGGGCTCTGGAGACACAGCACGACTGCGGGGAGAACGACAAGTCCACTGGGACGAGGAAAGGGACTGGACGGGGGGGACAGGAGGGGACGGTAGGGGACCACGAACCAAGCGTGCAGGTGCTGGGTCGGGCAGATCGCGCAGTCGCAGTCGCTGCTGCTCCGCCTCCTCTGGCGTCTGCTGCGACAGTACCTGTCCCTGCTGCTGCTCCTGTGGCTCCTCCCCTGCCCTCTCCTGCTGCAGCTGCAGCTGCACCCGCTGCTGCGACCGGGACTCCTACACGACCCTCTCCTGCTGTGGCTGCACCTGCACCCGCTGCTGCGACCGGGACTCCTGCACGACCCTCTCCTGCTGCGGCTGCAGCTGCACCCGCTGCTGCGAACGGGACTCCTGCACAACCCTCTCCTGCTGCAGCTGCAGCTGCACCCGCTACTGCGATCGGGACTCCTGTACGACCCTCTCCTGCTGCGGCCGTGACTCCTCCTCTACTGTCTCCTGCTGTGTCTGCAATTGGACCTGCTGCTGCGAACGGGACTCCTGCTCTACCGTCTCCTGGTGCGGCTGTGACTCCTCCTCTACTCTCTCCTACTAAGACTGCAACTGCACCCGCTGCTACACTCGTGACTCCTCCTCTACTCTGTCATGCTGCGGCTGCAACTGCACCTGCTGCTGCAGTCGTGACAACTCCTCTGCTCTCTCCTGCTGCTGCTGTGACTCCTCCTCTGCCCTCTCCTGCTGCTGCGACTGAGACTGCTCCTGCTGCTACTGCTGCTGCTGCTGCTGCTGCTGTGCCCTCTCAAACCGCTCACGCTCCTCCCTCTCCAACCAGAGGAGACGGTGCTCACGGGTCAGGAAACGTACAGTGCGCGGTGTAGGTGTCAAAGTGCCAGTGCCTCCAGCTCCAGCACCCCCAGAACCAGCACTTCCACCACCGACACCCCAGGGGCCTCCAGTACCTCCCGCAGGAACACCCCCAGGCTCCGCAGCAACCGGCCGCAGAGAAGAACGAGGAGGTAACTGCGGGACGGACGGGAAGCCAGGGGGTGAGGCGGGGCGAGGCCGCCACTCGAGGCTGCCGTGTCCTCCACAGGAGTGACCTCCACGCCCACAACCCCAACACCCCCAGAGCCGACACCACCAGCTCCTGCAGCCCCAATACCCCCACCCTTCGCAACTGCACCTCCCGCACCCCCAGACACGACAGGGACTGGACGCTGCGGGTGGGACGACTGCGGAGTGACGTGCGACACACCTGACGGGGCAGGAAGCGAAGGGGGGGGGGGGCTACCGGGGCGACTGGGGGGGGCTCAAGGGTGAGGAAAAGCGGGGGGGGAAAGGCCTCAGTACCTCGGTGGGGGCGACTCCTGTAGTAACAGGCAGACTCGTCGAACGTGACGTCCCGAGAAGCGAAGAACTGGTAGGTGACCGGGTCGTAGAACACCCAGCCGGAGGCGTCCAAAGGGAAGCCAAGAAAGACGCAGGCACGAGTGCGCGGAGACAACTTGTTCGTGCCCGTGGCGCGAACGTGAGCCAGAGAGCCCCAAGACGCGGAAGTCAGCTGCTACGCCCGGAGAAGCTGTCCAAAGGGAGACCGGCGTCACCCGTGGCCGTGCGTCACTGGGCCACAGGTTCAGGTGGTGTGCGGCGTAGCGGACTGCCTGAGGCCACAAGAACTGAGGGGCACCGGCATGGCACATGGAGGTCCGGGCAACCTCCATGACCAGGCGGATGCGCCGCTCGACTACCCCGTTCTGCTGCGGTGAGGCTGGTAGCGTGTAAAACTGGATGATCCCCCGACCCTGACAGAACGTCTCCAGGCGAGTGGACGGAAACTCACCACCACGGTCCGAGTGTAGGCGAAGCCCACACAGGCCCTGGGCGCCACCCCACGCTAGTAGCCACGGCTCGAGGACGGTAGGCACATTGGCATTCCGTCGCAGAAGGCGTAGCCACGATACCGCTCCTACGCCAAGAGTGAAGCAGTAGCATAGAGAGGACATGCGAGTCTCATTGTTATCTGCCTACGATGAGTTAGTGTGTCCTGTCAACGGGAGTTGTGTTTGGCCCCGTCCTCGCTTGGGCGAGGTCGACCTCGTGGTCAGGTGTACGGGAGTTGCAGCCGACCTGCAGCAGTGGGCGAGCCGGTCGACGGGACTGGTCGACTTGCACGGGGGTCATTGCAGGGGCGCCGACTTCGGAGGGCGCCGAGTGTAGGTGGTCGACCAGGCGATGTTGACCTCGGAGGCGTCGACTTGGGGACGCTGACTTTGGGTAGCCGACTTGGGTGGTCGGCTGATAACTGGGCTGGTCGACCTGGAGCTAGTTGACCAGGTGCACGGTCGGCTTGGTGTGGTCGACCAGTGGTGGTCGTCGACCTGGGTGATCGACGAGCACAAGGAGGAACCGGTCGACGTGGTGGTTGCCCGGTCGACCATGTTACCCGGGCGACGAGTTTCTGCGAAGTCACGCGACGGTCGCCCCGGTGTTCGTGGCGAGGACGACCTCGGTGTGGTATCCCGAGGTCGACGTGGCTGATCAGATGCAATCGTCAGCATGAGAACGATCCGGTGCGTTCGCTGTGCAGGTGACAAGACTCGGCACGCCAATCATCTGCGAGCACCTGCGAAGCGGGTGCGTTGCTGTCCTGTGGATGCAACGCTGTGCATACGACTTCTTGCAGTGTTGGCACGTCGTCGACCTGCAACTTTGGTAGACCGCGACATTGCCCTGCTGGAGCACGGTCGACCAAGTTGTGCTGGAACGCGGTCGACCGTGCTGCGCTAGCAGTCGACCAGCTTGCATGCTAGCATCTGATGTATTCGCTGTTGCCTTGCTATTCTGAACCATTGTTGTCAACTTTTCCTAGTGGAACTCTTGCCAATTCTCCCCGTGAACTAGCAAGTAGTGAGCACACAAGGAAACGACTGAGGAACGAATGCTACAAACACTCCCACCCCGTGCTTAGCCCGTAGACTAGCTCCCGTTGCTAGAGTTTTCTCCGCATGGTGCGGTGAGTGTGGACGGCACCGCGACTT